CAGACTTTGGATTAAGGTCTTTAGAATGACTATTTACATTCAATTCGATTTCTCTGATCCTCTGCTGTCTTGCTGTGTTGTTTGTTTTCTCATGCAGACTTTGCATTAAGATCTTTAGAATGACTATTTAGATTCAATTCATTCTCTCTGATCTTCTGCTGTCATGTTCTATTGTTTGTTTCTCATGGAGCCTTTGGTTTAAGATCTTTAGAATGACTATTTACATTCAATTCGAACTCTCTGATCCTCTGCTGTCATGTTCTCTTGTTTGTTTCTCATGGAGCCTTTGGTTTAAGACCTTTAGAATGACTATTTACATACAATTCGAACTCTCTGATCCTCTGCTGGTATGCTTTCTTGTTTGATTGAGTAAATTTCATAGACTTAGTCTAACTGTTAATATATCGCTTCTAATGGTCTCGGAATTTTCTCGCACCGCCTAAACATTTGTATTCATAATTATTTGTATCGGTCATGATTGTTTGCATTCGGTCTGGGTGTTTTCTATATATAATATGTATTTCTTAAAAAAATGTATTTATATCAGTTATCCAATACCCATAGCTTAAGCTCTGCTTGGGACGGGACTAACTAGTTCTGTGTAAATCGTCCTAAAATATTGCAGTATCTGTTGTAAAATATTTTATGTTCTGGTTACGAACACAAATTAGACTATTTGCTTTTGCATTAGAATGTGCTGGTGATCACTCTATTCTCCCAAATTTGAATTTAAAAATGAATCTTTATTTACAACGTTTATTTGAAAAGAATACGAGCTGAGTTTCTTGTCATCATTCTCATCTCGAAATCATTCCGAACTGACGCTAGATTTGATATATCATAAGTGTGTAATAGATCTACATGAATAAAAATGTTTAGATTTTTTTATTTTATATTATTATTACTAAATATAGGTCCAGCTAATAATACGTATCTTGAATTTACATTCTATACATTGGTAATGCAAATTGAATATATTTTGCATTATATACAGCAGTGAGGCGATTTAGTATCGTTAACAACATACTATAAATCTTCAAGCATATTTGCGTTACGGCTTAGTAAGATTATTGGAGGTAACAGAAACTGGAATTGTTGGTGTCCGAGTGTTGGTACAAAGAGCGACAGCGCGCCTGGATTACGCTGTCGTACTTGAGTAGAATTTATTATCAGATTTTCGATTCGGCCACCAATGAAGTTGTAGGACAACAAAATCTTTTGATAGATTCATCCCGGTTGACCGCATTAAGACCCGCTCCCGGGTCATTTTTTAATGCGACGCCATAAATTTTTGGACCCTCCCTGTCGGAGTTTTTGTGCGACTACCGTGCTGCGGAAATTTTAAGTAATGTCTTTACGTGTAAGTTGACATTTTTTATGTAGATTGCAATTAAGATGACAGGGTAACTGCTGGTAAATGGTACACGATACTCTTAAACAGTGCCACGGTGATAATGTTGTACTCTCACACCCGTTATAGCTTATATGTTGCCAGTAAATTAAAAAAGTAAACTGGCAATCTATTTGGCTATGTAAGTACCTATATCATAATATTTAAATGTGAAACAAAAACCATGTATCTCCGTTTTATGAAAATTGTATAAAAATTCACACATTATAGAAGGAATATTTTTTATTATATTTATCCACAACAATACAATAATACATTAAAAAAAATTACACATTTTACATACACATGTATATAGATATTCTTTTATTTAATTGTTAATGCTTGTTTAAAGTTCTTTTTGTACATTTTATTATGGTCGAATTTCGACCATAATAAATCTTTAAATCTATACATATAAATAAAATTGAAGTGTCTGTTTGTAATATTGAAATAACCGTTTTTTAAATTTGAAATGGTTGGACCGTTTTTCACGGGTTTTTATTGGCAGGCAGCTACTGTAATAAGGAGTAACTTAGGCTACTTTTCTTTTAGAAAAATAAAGTCAAATTCCACGCGGACGAAGTCGCGGGTACAACTAGTAAATAAATAAAATTGAATTCTTGAGGTTTAAAAAGCCATAATTTCTTACCATGTACTTTCATTGACAATACAAAGTAAGTTATGATCTTATTATAAATATTATAAACGCGAAAGTTTGTCAGTATCGACGAATAGATGGATTGACGGATGTTTATTACTCTTTCACGCAAAAAATACTAAACAGATTTTGATGAAACCTTCTGTAATATAGCTTATATTACATAACATATAGGCTATAAATTTTGTGGCGGTGAAGCTGAGGGCACAGCTAGTTACATTATCTTGTATATAAAATTCTCGTGTCACAGTTTTCGTTCCCATACTCCTCCGAAACGGCTTCACCGATTCTCATGAAATTTTGTGAGCGTATTGAGTAGGTCTGAGAATCGGCCCACATCTATTTTTTATCCCCCTAAATGTTAGGGGTAGTCCAACCCTAAATTTTAAGGCATAATAAATTTGCCGGGACAGCTAGTAATTACATGAAAAAATTGTAAAAAAAGAGGTAAACTCAAAGCGACAAATAACGAACGCAATCAAATCTGATAAAAGCTATTATAATTGACAAGAGAAAAAATTAATAATAGATGGAACTAAGTTGAGAGTAAGTTGTACCCGTGCCATCTTAATACATAGTATATATCATAACTATGTATATATAATACATAATATATGTATTATACACATATATGTATACATTAAAGGAAGTATGAAAGTGGCGCCGGTGTCGGAGAGGTTGAAGAGTAATCGTCTATCGTGGTATGGACATGTAATGCGTATGAATGAAGATATTACATATGAATGTGGATGGTTATAAGAGCAGAGGAAGGCCGAAAAAGAGATGGATGGACTGTGTGAAAGATGATATGGCAAGGAAGGTAGTAAATAACAAGATGACTGCGAACAGGAATGAATAGAAGAGAAAAACATTACGCCGACCACAAATAAATGAGATAAGGAAGAAGCAGATGATGATATTGATAAAATTGGATGGGCTTAAATTGACACTAAGTTGTAAGTTGTACTCTTGAACACTTAGTACAAAGTATACATTTATAAAATTGCATATTAATAAAACATAAATTACATTCAACACTATTTCACATCGCCTCAAATCAGTACCACATTAATCAATATTACAAATAGCGTTCATAATTTTACTTGTTTATCTCAACGACATAAAAGAAAGTAAAGTTCAACATTCGTATGTATGAGACAAAAAAACACACAATACATTTGTCGACCGAATGATGATTGATGCGTATACCTCGTATCTTGGCCCATTAAATAATAATAGTTAAAACGAAACGTTCGAGCGATCGATCAAGAAATCAATCAAGGGAAGATCATTTTTGTAATGGATTAGGTTGAAGCTACCGGTAACGTGAATTGAGAATTTAAAGACGATATCATGTTTATTGGAATTGCTATTGTTTTATAAATCATATTAAAACGTACTAAATCTATCATAAGTTTATAAATCTATCATAAGACCTGTCATTTTGTATGGATCTGAATGTTGGGCCGTAAAGGAGATGGACGAAAGGCGTGTGCATGTGGCAGAAATGCGAATGTTAAGATGGATGTGTGGGTTACCAGGAATGACAGAATAAGGAATGAGTATATACGAGGAAGTTTGAAAGTTGCGCCGGTTATAGAAAAGTTGCGAGGTAACAGATTGAGCTGGTATGGGCATGTTATGCGGAGGAATGAGGACCATGTCTTATGGAAAGTGTATAATATGAATGTGGATGGATGTAAAGGGAGGGGACGCCCTAAGAAAAGATGGATGGATTGTGTGAAAGATGATATGAATAAAAGAAGAGTATGTTTAGATATGACGACTGATAGAGAGCAGTGGAAGAGAATGACATACTGCGCCGACCCCAAATAATGGGATAAAGGCAAGGCAATGATGATTAAAACGTACTAATATTGTTAACATATGGATGTATGTTTGTTACTATTTTACATACTCAATTATACTATTGAGTAATCCTAACCAAATTTCTATATTATTCTTACGTATGTTAAATAAGAAGTCGTTTGTTTTGTATTCAGATTTCTATTCATATAAGTTTTGTTCTTTTTTTAAATATTAATTACCATTATTTATTTGATCGTTAAAAAAATATATTTATTATTGATACGATGTTGAAACCTTCAAGAAAAGAGCTTATTCCTTTTTAAAAGGCCGACAACGTACTTGCAATTCCCCTGGTGTTGCGGGTGCTCATGGGCGGCGGTTATCACTTACCATCAGATGAGCCGGATGCTCGTTTGTCCCTTGTGTTTTAAAAAAAAAATATTTTACATACTCAATTATCCTATTGAGTAATCCTAAACAAATTTCTATATTATTCTTACGTATCTTAAATAAGAAGTTGTTTGTTTTGTATTCAGATTTCTATTCATATAAGTTTTTTATTTATTTATAAACTCTTTATTGCACCAATAGAATTAATACATAAGAATTATACAGAAAATAGATAGGGAAGTACAAAAGGCGGTCTTATCGCTAGAAGCAATATCTTCCAGACAACCTTTAGGTAGAGAAAATACCACAAAAGTGGTAGGTGGCGCATGAATAGAATGGAAGAATATATATATAAAGATAATAATACCAATAAATATTAGAAAATAACACAAGTTTTGTTCACTTTTAAAATTTTAATTACCATTATTTATTTGAACGTAAAAAAAAATATATGCCATCGCTACTGTTATACCACATAAAGTTGTCAACCGTCGATCTTGTGGTGAAGGAGGTAAATTCCTGAGGCATAAGGCAATATGCCTATTTATTTTATAATTTCACTGTCATCTCTCACCTTCTCACCAAAACATAACTGCGAAGCAAGTTGCTTACAGAAATAAATGATAAGCTTATTTAAATATGTGTATTTAAATATAGTGTACAAGCTGTATAATCTGTAATACCTAAATATATACCTTCTAAAATCAAAATCTTATAAATTTTATTTATTTTTTTATATTATGTTTACAACAGGCCCCAGGAATCGAGCTTAAGGAGAACATAGCAGCAAGTGCTGCGAGTTGGCCTTATCCTACCGTTTATCATCCTTATGATGCTGCCTTCGCTGGATATCCCTTCAACGGGTAAGTTGTAGTTATAATTTTTAATAAGACCATGTTTGTGATCGCAAATAGCCATATAATTACATTTAAAAATAAAACTATAAAGTTCAAATTTGGAACGTCACGCATGGAACTTCGATGTTATTTTGTTTTACCTATATTCACTTCTTCTCGAACATTCCGTGGCGTCACTATTAAATTCAGTGTACAATATATTCAAGGCATTTTTTAGTTCATTAATACAACAAATTATACATTGCAATATTCCTCCAGCAAACACACAGGACAATTTTTAATTACTCTTAAAAAAATTCAAAGCATCTGTTAAATCATATGTACTGAGCAAAGCCTATTACTCACTAAACGATTACTTGAATGACGAGCGTGCATAGCTATAGTTGTTCATGCACGGGATTTTCGTTTAATGTTAGATATAGATACCTATATAAGTGCAAAATGTAAATAAACTGGCTTTAAAGAGAAGAAATTCACTTTAGTTTCTTGCAAATTGAATCTATGTACTGAACTGGATGGTAGGGAAAAATATACAAAAAAAATTGACGTATATAAAATTTAATTCTAAAATGTCCGACATGAATAATTTTTTTTTATTCATTCGGACACTTTAGCGTTAAATTTTTTATTATATTCGTTATTAGGATTTCCAAACAACGCCATCTGGCCACAAAATAAAATTATAGTTTTTGTAAACCTTTTTTTTGGAAATACTTAATGCAAATGATTTCTTTATTTCATTATTCTTTATTGTACACACACACACATAACAAAAAAAATATACAGAATAAATGTAATGTACAAGGGCGAGCTTATTTCTCAAAAGAGATTTATATGAATGATTATCATATCATAAAAACAAATACTTATATTGTTTAGGAATCTAACCCGCAATAATCAGATCAGAATATCCAACAACTGTACAACTACGGTACTATACCGTGCTGGTATTTATAATAGATACTATACCATTGGAATTGCAATAAAAGCGAGCAGGGGCGGTCCACTTTATACAAAATTCACGCTCCTTGCTATCTGGACCATTCTGACAGCGCTGGGGATTTCAGCGATGGCATAATTAATTTTTGAGTAAGTTCCGCTCGCCGGGATTGTACCGGCTTCCATGACAGATGGGCCCCTAACGGCATCTATCGGCGATCGACGTGCAAATCTCCAAAAAGAGGACACTTAACGTCTATCCTACATGTCACATGTAGGGTTACCAATTGTTCGGATTTCATCGGGATATTCCAGACTGTATTCCATAATAATATAATCTATACATATAAATAAAATTGGAGTGTCTGTTTGTAATACTGAAATAACCGTTTTTTACTACATGCATATGAATATAAACCGAAATAACATTTTTTACAATTTTTGTCTGGCTAATCTCTGAAATAGTTGGACCGATTTTGACGGGACTTTTATTGGCAGGTAGGTAATGTAATAAGGAGTAACTTAGGTTACTTTTATTTTGGAAAAAATATTTTATTGTAGAAAATATAAAGTTAAATTCCACGCGGACGAAGTCTCGGGAATAGCTAGGGTAATATAATAATAATACATTTATTGACACCATTTTAAGTAATTACAGTTAGTTATTGTTCTTAAAAACTATAGTTATAAAAAAGTTTTAAATATATAAATACATAAAATTGACAGTAGTATCTATACAAGGCCGAGTCTGTATCATAGACACTACTTTCCAGCGACAAATAGTTAAAAATTTAAATATTGCAATTGCATGGGTAGATTTACTTTTCAACTTAGTGCAAAATAAGAATAAATAATAATATAATAATCCATGTTAGGACGCAAACCTCAAATTGAATAGAACAAATAAAATGGTGATAGACCATTTTATTTGTTCTATTCGATCAAGCATTCATATTTACAATTCTAATAATATTTCTTTATGTTCATTGTTTCGCTTGGAGGCAGATAAGGTAATGAAATTACAGGAGGCATGATACTTTAGTTATAACCTATCGATCTTGTCCATCAAATCAAATCAAAAGATCTATATTCATGTGGGTCTATTACAGATTGTTAGAGCATGTCAAATCTACAGTACAGAGTGCTTTTGAGTAAAGAAGAACTGATAAGAAACTCAGCTCTTACTCAAATTCAAAATTCAAAATATCTTTATTCCTGTAGGTCTATTACAGACTCTTATGATATGTTAAATCTACCGTCAGTTCGGAATGATTTCGAGATGAGAACTGACAAGAAACTCAGCTCGTATTTTTTTTAATGTTGTACATATTTGTATTGTTGTACGTATTCCTTTCAAATGAGCCTGTACATTTACAAAAATACAGAGTCTAAAATTTAAAAATTAGGAAGAAAATCGCTAATAAATAACTAACTGCATAAGCTATTGCATATTTGTCAACAGGATATAGTCTATTCAGTGGCTCTAACCTGACAGGTCAGTTCCCAGACCAGTATACGTTATGACGGATGAGATAGTCATCGTTACACTTAACCATATTAGAGGGAACATATTAATCAGCTTGTTTAATAAATCCCGAAAATTTTAGTACGAGAGTTGGCTAACCTAGTTACAGTGTTTAGCCCCTCGCTCCATGTACACTGTTTTGTCTGGTATCTATACCAACCCGTTCCATATGTATATTTTACGAAGCAACAATCGAGGCAGCTTTCAGTATATATATATATATATGTAATAATATACACTATATTCATATGTACAAACACACTTACGCATATATATTTCTCCTTGTGACTATAGTAACACTTATAACACACACTCCTATTATAATATATTATATAAATATACTCTTTTCCTCAAATTCAAAATATCTTTATTCATGTAGGTCTATTACAGATATGTCAAATCTACCGTCAGTTCGAAATGATGATTTCGAGATGAGAAGAACTGACGAGAAATTCAGCTCGTATTCTTTCCAATTAAATGTGGTACTTGTTTACAATAATACAGATTCATTTTTAAATTCAAATTTGGGAGAATAAAGTGACTACCAGCATGTGCTTTTGCAAAAGCAAATAGTCTAATCAGTGTTCGTAACCCGAACAAATCAGCCCCTACAAGCAGCATTTGTTAAGAAGTATGGACTTTATTCGACCTAACACACATATACCCATCATAATTCTAAGTATATAATATGTACTGAGAATATTAATTTTTAATTATAATGCGTTTAATTAAAGTAATTTAATATATAAGAGCCATATGTTTCAATACTTACATATACTCTATGATCATGCATGTTGACTTTACAGTAATGTAATTAATTTAAAACAGTTATAAGTATTCTAATTATAAACCTGTATATGATCCTAAATAAATAATACCTTCATGATTATTATTCTAGCTAGGGCAGTCAGAGGCATTGTCGAACATAACACTTATATATCCACGTTTCGCTGACTATCTTTCAATTCAACATAGGTCTACCGCAGTCTGCCGGATTTTTTCGTTTTCAGTGTTTCCATCAAGTGACAGAAAGTCCAAAACAGGGTCTAAATATGTATACATAAGTAGACGACTAAACGGCGCCACATTTAACGTAATCACTATCTGAAGGTTATTTTTTAGAAAAGCGTGTTTAGCATATGACGGTTGTCATTGAAGCTTGGCGCAATACACAACGAAATCACCAATTTTATCATTATCAGCTATTTAGGTAGATTTTGATTTGAACAACACATATGTAAACCGATAGCGGCAAACTGTAAAGGTACCAAAACATGAGTTTATTAGATAATTACGAATGTTGTACCCGTTTATCGGAACTGTATCTGTGTTTGTCGGCGTAGCGAACATGCAGGAAAACACGACAGTCGGCGTAATGTTCAATATGTATTAGTTTCATATTTATACATATAATTACATATCTTGTGTACCTATAGATAGATAGATAAAGTACGTACGCAATGTTCGATACCAGAACTGATTGATTGGTACGCATTAGATACCTTATAGGAAACGGCTACGCACTATTACAGCTTGCACAAAATTGTACTACTAATCATTAATAAGCATTTCCAACCGCTAATACTAACAACAATTGTGATGGAGGAATATATTCAGCTGATTCTGAGTGAGACATGTATCCTGGTAAGGTAAATGTATATATTCAGCTACTAGATAAAACGTAATACAAAGAATGTGGCATTAGAAAAACAATCAGTATAAAGAAAAAGGAACAGAACACCAAAATTTAAAATAAAATAAGAATATATAATACAAAACTATCAAAAACAATATTAATACATACCACAATGGTAGCAATGAAGCATACTGGTGTGAAGGTAAACCGTTACCGAAGCCTATGGACGCCTCTGACACTAATGTTCTCTAGTGCGCCTTACCAACGCTTAACAAATTCTATTTTACCCTTCGGCTGTAATTTCTTCAAAACCCTAAACATGTAGTTTATTCTAAAATATGAATTTTGCGGTTATAGGAAACTCCTCTGAACCAGCACTGTTCGTGATCATTGAGGATCTAAGGTGTAAAGATAGGGGTACCAAGATAATAGAAACTGGCATATATCAGACAATTTATCTACTAGTAAAATTATAACCCTATTACGTATCGTTATGATTTTAATAAAAATTAATTCATCGAAGCTAACAATATAATTTGAGTATCAATAACATTAAAGTATATATTGAGTGTGAAGCAAACATCTTGATTTATACGTTTTTAATTGCAGTGATGCACGCAAGGCGAGCTCCGTCAAATGAATATAGATTACATGTCAGAAGGTTTTAACTTAGATGTATATGTATACGTCGATATATGATATAACATTCTAAATTCAATTATTTAAATAGCCATTCATTCAAATAGGTTACACTATTTTGTGTTTTAGATTATGGATCAACCATTACTAAACCATTAACATACTTACGAACTTCGTTTTCATTAAGGTTTGTGAGAACCTGTTCAGAAACATTCAACACAATTAAAGCAGCTTTTTAAACGAGATCTCAATGAATTTATCTTCAGT